GTATAATATTATAAAACTCATAAGTCGGGTACCCCACTTTCGGGCCACCCCCCTTTTGGGCCACTTTTTATACCAAAAATACACCAAAAATGGAATTTATAACTTTCTTATTTATAGATAGAATTTAATGAAAATTTATACATATATAATTTAAATCGATTTAAGCTTATTCTGAAATTTTTAGATTTTTAGGATTTTTCTGTATTGAGAACTAGAGCTTCAAAATATCGATTTTTAAATTTATATGGGAATCACACACAAATTTAATTTTTTTATAAAATCATTAATAACTTTTTAATAAAAATTGCTAAAAATAAACTATAAAATTTTATTATAAATTTATAGTATGTTTAATATAAGAGATTCAGAAAAAATAGAAAATTCCATATAAATAAATATTTATAGGGGTACCCTCAAAATGACAGGGATTATTTATACTACTCTAAACTCACTGTATACTATATTTCTATATCTGTTAATTTTTTCGAATTTTTTTTTGAATTTCTAAATAGATTCAAGTTTAAATATCTCAAAAACATATATGGTTTTCTTTTAATAATTGTTGTTCAAAAGTTATTAAAGATTTTATAAAAGTTTTAAATTTATATGTGATTCCCATACAAATTTGAAAATCGATATTTTGAAGCTCTAGTTCTCAATACAGAAAAATCCTAAAACTCTAAAAATTTCAGAATAAGCTTAAATCGATCTAAATTATATATATATAAATTTTCATGGAATTATATTGAATATTGATAGAGATATTAATAGGCCTAAAAAGTGATTTTTGGTGTGAAAGGGTGGCCCAAAACAGGGGTGGCCCGAAAGTAGGGTAACCGACTTATATTATAAATTCTTTTTTAATATATTTTTCATTGAAGAATATTTATTATTTGAAAAATAAGATATTTTGAAATATTTTTTTAATTTTTGATTAAAAGAATTGAGTTTAATCCAAAATTAAAAAAATGTAAATATAATAATATAAAATCAATTTATTATAAATTCTTTTTGAATAAAGAATTATTTATTATTTTAAAAATAATGCATTTTAGAATAATCCTTTCATTTTTGATTAAAAAGATTAATTTTAATTGAAAATTTAAAAAATATAAATATAATAATATAAAATTATTATACTATAAATTTCTTTTTTTAAAAAAATTCTTTTTTCAATATTATTTTTATTTAAAAATTATTCATTATTTGAAAAGTAAGATATTTTGAAATATTTTCTTAATTTTTAATTGAAAGAATTCAGTTCAATTCAAAATTAAAAAAATATAAATATAATATTATAAAATTAATATATTATAAATTCTTTTTTAAAGAAATTTTTCTTTTTTAATATATTTTAATCAATAATTGTTTATTATTTAAATAATAATATATTTCGAAATATTCTTCTAATTTTTGTTTAAGAAAGTTGATTTCGATTAAAAATTAAAAAAACATAAATATAAAATCAATATATTATAAATTCTTTTTTATAGAAACTTTCTTTTTTTAATATATTCTTAATTAAAAACTATTTATTATTTTAGAAATGATATATTTTGAAATGTTTTTTTAATTTTTGATTTCAAAAATTATTTTTGATAAAAAATTAAAAAAATATAAATGTAATATTTTAAAATTAATATATTACAAATTCTTTTTTTAAAAAAATTCTTCTTGATATATTTTCAATCAAAAATTATTTATTATTTTAAAAATAATATATTTTGAAATTTGTTTTCAATTTTTGATTAAAAAAGCTATTTTTAATCAAAAATTAAAAAAATATAATTATAATATTATAATATTGATATAAATTAGTATAATTATTGGCTTTGAAAGAAGAGGGGGGGTAATAAGGGGTTTCCGGTTTATATCTATATGTCTATTCTTTTTTTTCCTATTACTAGATATAGAGACTTTAAAAGAACGCGGTACCAACTCTCCTACGATAATAGTTTAGAGTTTGTCTTATTCTACTTTATATTTTCGCTTTTTCTTTTAACTATCTACTATATATTATCATATCCAAATCCTCAATCCTATTCCATCGACCTTACATCTTCGTATTCCTTTCACTGCCATTCATATTTGATTAGAACCGGAAACTCTCAGATTCTAATATATACCAATCAAACCCTTAGAAAACTCTCTGTTGGTTTGAGAAGGATATAGATAATGTAGTACTCCTGATGGTAGATCCTAGTTGTCAATATTATATGTCGTTCAAAGAGCTAGCGTTCTACAGGAAGAAGCAACTCTTATATACTTTGAGGCTAGCTCTCTCGCTTAGTGTACTACAGTATTATCATGACTTAAGGTCTTTTACCTACGTTCATACACTTCAGTGGAGGTGGAAACCCAGACACCGATAATTTTGCAATTCCGAAACATCAAAAAATGATCACAGATGTGGTTTATTCGGTGGTGGCTATAGATTCATAGATTGATTATCTGTAGGATTGACGCAGACGTTTTACTCACGGATCTGCATCTCTGCTCATAAGTTTGGGGCTGCCAACGCTCGTGTTTCGTCACGGCTCTTGTGACTCGCGTCGTGATTACAGAGGTGGTGATTACTTTTCGCTCCCAGAAAGGTATTGTGTGATCTTTACCATCCAGGGAGTGGGGATCGCCACAAAACTTGTCCTCATAACGTCGATGCACTGTCGTGAAGACCTCCACGTTTTGAAATTTCGTGAAAGTGTCATGAATCAGTTCTTTTCCACCGAAAGCCCTCGTGTGGGACTTGGATATACTGCGGGTGCTAATGGCTATAGTGGTTGAAAGCTATAGTTGTTAAGCCACGCTAGATAGTGACAACGGCAGCTTCTGCTACGGTTTTGAGCCAGTTGGCTCAGTGCCACCTGCGACGGGCAGTTGCGCTTTGAGGACAGCGTGGGAGACAGCAATATTATTGGTACGGGCACGAGCGAAAGAACGACGTGCAGCGAAGAGGGCGATTCGATGTGAAAAGTTCCTGTTAGCTGGATGGTCAGCCAGGCTCAACAATAAAGATTGCCAAATCCCCAAACGAATTAGAATATTCAAATCAATGGAGATATTGAGGTTGATTGGAACATTGAAATGTTTTCATATTTTTAACGGCTTTGAGATATTCAAAATCTTATATTGTTGGACGGTATTTCGGGGTATGGGATATACTGGGCCACCGCTATGGTGGTGGTAGTTGAGAAAAAACAACAAAGGAGGGAGATTACGGTCTTATTATACATGTTGATGATGCAGTGCTTCTTTCCTCTTTTTTAAGGCCCAGAAAAGATATGGGAGAAAGAGGCTATCGCCATGAGACAGCAGGAAGTGATGCCAGCTACATGTGATTGAGGAACTAATGAGGTATGAGCTAAATTTGAAGAATGCTTTAGATAGTTTATGTCTCATGTCGAGTCAATAACTGTTTTGTGATATATACACCTTTATGATTCGATTACCTATGTCTTCAAAGATTCGATATAGTTTAGTAATTAAAAGTTGCTGTCTACATTTTTTACATACCTACTTGAAGAGCTTGGTGGCCAATACAGCAATATCTAGATAGGATTTATAAGAATATTAGTGATTAAATATACAACAAATGCACTTTTGGAAGTTTCCTTTGCTGATCACTCAAGTATAGTAGTAGCTACGGAGTGATTCACAGATCACACTATTTCATTCCTTCCACAGCTACATTGTTCGCACCTTCGCTAAATTATCCCAGAGTCATTTAACTTCTGCGAACAACTGAACTTTCACTTTCCCAATCGATCAATTTCCTACTATTAATAATCTTTGTAGAGGTTGTGGCTTATGCAGAAGACCGGCGTTGACAACCCATGGTCTAAGGGAAACATAATTTCATTCGTTCAAGAAGTCTAACTCAATCTTATTCCTACTATCTTATACCAATCATAGAAGAAGACTCCCGCTATAAAGTCTAGTGAGTAGTCGACTTTTCCTGTAGACCCACTTCGGGACTTTTCATTTTTTTAGTTGATAAAATTTAGCAACCATAAGAGCCTCATGTACACGCTAGACTTTCTAGTAAGGTGGCTTTCTAAGATGACTTATTAGATTCAGAAATTTTGTAACTTGGTGTTGAACAAGTGCTGCGTCAGTGCTAGTACACAAGCTAATGTGTCCATCTCTGTGAGCTATACCATAAAGCTTTCCTATAGTCAATATTGTATATTCGCACATCCATTCCAATATATGTAGATAAGTCCAACTTGAAGATGTTAATAATAGAACTAGTCACAAGCTAGGTCGGCCTTTGCATTGGAGATTGGATTTATTATAGCAATGCCATAGCAAAAGAATTCAGCGAATAAGACACAGCCATGGTAGCGATTAGAATGCCAATCCTTACTCTATCTCTCGAGTATCAGTACTACCCCTATGTCCAATTCTCTTTCCTATAGAATCTCTGAAAAGTATTAAAGTTCGATTTCCTCAACGCTGGCGACAGTAGAATGATGAGTGACTTATAAAACCTAGCGCTATTAGCGTACCACTAGTGAAATAAACTCAGTTGGTGACGTACAATACCTAACCCACCGATCAGCACTTAGTTCAGTAGTTATCTAGGGGCTTTCTTATAATATAAAACCGTACTCATGTCAGATTTTTCTATACGCACAAATCATTCACGGTTCTCTTACAATTTGATGTTTCAGGGGTTCTAATATCATTAATATCGCTTAATTCACACAACTATACAGTCGCTCGCTCAGTGTGATTATTAAGAATTGAATACAGCAGCTGGATTCAGTGCATGCTCGTGCCATTCTTCTATCCCAAGTCTTTGTGATAATCGGGCTTTCTAGCACCTCAAATCTGTCCTTACTACCACAACATCTTCAAATTGATAATTTCATCAGCAGCATTGGCTTTCATATCAAAACTTGAGCCTTCATATCGACAAGCAAGACCCTAAAGCTTCGCAACACCACTTCAAGGAACCAAAACACTTGATCTATTCATATACTCAGATAATCGAGAGGATGTCTGCCTCCTGGGACGTCGTGTTCACTGAAGAGTTCGATGAGAACTTTGGAATGGGCCTAGACGATGGGTGCAAGAAATACTCAAAATTGGTATGACATTACCCCTTCATTACTTGGATGACACCCTAACATAGTCATTATAGTATAATATATCGAATCCCGCCGAACTTCATGGCTTGAACCAAAATCTTTCAGATGATAACGAAGACACCGAAAGCTCTTCATCGGACAGCATACCAAGCTTCGTTTCTGTTAGCGACGAAAGGTCAGATTGCTACACATCTGACTACAACGATGAGATTGAGAGCAAATCGGGTATCGAATTCGACTTTTGGGCTGTCTCCCAAGATGAAAGAGACCAAATTGGTCAGGAAAGTGATTCTCCCATAGACTGGGACTTTGAAAATTCTATTGGTATGTTTACACTGTCCGATCTTATTGAAAAGCATGCTAACTATCTCAGAACCTGTAGAACAAGAGCCATTATTCAAGACCATCATGATCGATACTCCCGAAACCTTTGACGAGTTCTTGCCAGTTTTGTCACAGCTAGTGGAAGACATCCCAGAGCTCGGATGTGACTGCGAGGGTGGAAAGAGTTTTGGTCGTAATGGAGTCCTAACGTTTTTCTCAATGACAATTCTTTCTCGGAGAGAGACATACATTATAGATGTCTTGGCGCTCAAAAAACTCGGAATACAAGTCTTCGAACAAGAGAATGTAGAAGGGCTGTCGTTAAAGAAAGTTTTGGGATCAAAGAAATATCTGCAACTTTGGTTCGATGTTCGACAGGACTGGGACACCCTGTATCACTTGTTTGGAGTTACACCAGGGCGAATTCTTGACCTCCAATTACTTGAGTTTTTGTCACGCAGAGGCTCAAAAGACAGTATTCTGGGATTATTCAGAGTCATGAGGGAGCATGGCAAGGCTTTCATGAGCAATAAAGAGCTTGAAGATTGGTTAGATGAGAAGGATGAAGGTCGAAACTATTTCAGCGGCCATGAACTAGGTTATGGCGTTCTGGAAGAGGAGCGACCTATCAGCGAGACCACCAAGAGGTATATTGCAGGCGATACGGATTGCATGTTCCATCTGTACTTCCATCTCTCGCTACAGTTGAGATATTGGGACCAGGAAATGCAGATAAGTATACCCGAGAAGGCTACCGAATCTGCGGAAAAGACCACAGGGATTGCGAATGCCAAACAACCTATCGAGGCTGCCGTCGTCATAGAATCAGGATTGTCGACAATTGAGTTGCAAGAGCCCACTGAGCCTGCTGCTCCAGTCGAGCCACGTCACAGAAGGGACTGGTTGACTTTCGTCGAGGAGCAATCAATGCTCAGGGCCGAGCTCGCAATGGCCCCTGAATATGACCCCAATGATCAAGATAGGAAGTATAGCGCACCAGAAGCATTTCTAGAGATCTCACGACAACAAAATGATCCTGAAAGAGCTGCTGCAAGGCGTGCCAAGGAAATTGAGCGCTCAATGTTTTAAAGGGAACAATTTGAAAGAGCTAGGCAGCGGTTATATGAGTCTTATGTGAGAGAGCCAGAAAGATAAATGTTTGAATTGGATATTGATAGGATACAAAATACCTACCAGATAATAATGTGTTGAAAAATTATAATAATATAGCGTAATGATTAATTCTCTCAAAGAAATAACAATTCAAGATCCTCAATTATCACTGTTTTTACAATCTGTATGACTGAATTTAATATATACCTGCAACGTACAATACTGACTAACAAGTGGCACCGGTGCGGCTTCACTCATCGATATATCATAACGACATCTTCTAACCTGTAGAGTTCATCGCCATTACTGTGCTGCTCCTATATATAATCAATTGATACCGTACACCTGCAATTCATCCAAGAGTATCTTAGAATCCGACGATACAGCGGATCTTATATCATCAATATCGCTTCATTCACGCAACTATACGGCTCGCTTATCAAGTACAGTGGTTAACTGCTTGCTTGAATACAGCTAGCCATATTTGGTACATGGATGGCTGTATCACTTGTTAGTCCAAAGTAATTATAAGGATTAGATTCTCCTACAAGTCAACATCTTTTTCGTTCTCACAACAAACTTGAATTTGATAGCTTTCGTCAAGAAAATTCTTGCACTCTACTTGAGAATTCATCAGCACGATCCAACTACAAACACCTGTTCATTATACCAACAGCTCCTCATACCAAAGACATCTCCTAACAGGGTAGACAAAGTACCGCGCGAATATGTCTTCCAACATCGAACAAACTTTCCAAGCAGGATCTGTCGAAGACTTGCAAACCCCGGTTGAGACATTCGATGAGAATGAAATCATCCTTGACAACGTCTCTGAGTCCCACTCAGCATCAGTATGTCCCCAGCTCCTATTCTCACTTGCTTTTATACTAACTTATTATCTTTAGGAGGACATAGAATGCAGTCCCTACCTTGAGTGGACGCTTTCATGGTCGGAATACATCGAAGAGATCTTAGCCGAAAAAGAGCGTGATCTTGCATTAGAAAATGGAGATTCCAGTGAGGACTTCTCATGGCCTCCGTCAGATGAATCATGGGTGAAACAACCCATAGTAACAATTGCTGATGAAGAAGCACAAATGGCTGCATTAGACGAGGAAGCCGAGAACGCTCTCAATACAGGTGCAAAACGAAGCCCGGATGCGCCCGCTCCAGTAGTATTCATCGACACGCTCGAGAAGCTGGACAAGTTTCTCCCCGTCCTCTCTCGGCTCAAGGATGGAGTTGAGCTTGCATTCGATTGTGAAGGCACACCGGAAGAGGACGAAAATGGGAAACCTATCCCAGGCGGTGGCTTTGGTCGCACTGGCGACATGTCTTTCCTGTCAATGACCGTAATCTCGATCGACATAACCTACGTCTTCGATGTCTGGCAGCTCAAGAGTGCTGTTTTTGACCGTCAAAATAATGACGGCCTATCTCTCAAGAAGATCTTAGAATCCCATGATAGAATTCAGCTCTGGTGGGATGTGCGTAGCGATTGGGATACCTTATTCCACAAATTTGGGATTCAAATTGGGAAGGTTCGTGATGTGCAGTTGATAGAGCTTTTATCTCGGTGGAACCCGAAGTCGAACGTCTTTGGCTTATACAAGGTTATGAGATGGGAAGGTCACCATACAATGAGCAACCATAATTGGAATGTCTGGTTAAAGGAGAAAACAGAAGGGGGGGCATACTTCCAGAATAATGGCTGGCGACCGCTCACAACCAGACCATTGACCAGAACAGCAAAAAACTACATTTCAGGCGACACTGAGTGTCTTTACGGCTTGCATAAACGACTGCAGGATAGGTTGGAAGAGTGGCTCTATATTTTGCAAGGAAAGACTGTCGGAGGTCTAATGGATGCAATTGGGAAGCCATCCACTCTCCCAGCAACTATGGACGACTTGATGCAATTCATTGACGAGCAATCAATGATTCGAGCTCAAGATGCTACATCTCCAGGGTTTGATTCCAGGTCTCGTGAGGGAAAGGCGGATGCACCTGCAGCATTTCTCCGAATAACCGACGTTTGGGAGAATTCCCGGGATAGGGGTTCGAAAAGACGGGAGGAGGGTCAAAAATTGGTCCAAAGTCGACAATCTATGGCGGTAGACTCTTGAAGGAGGTTATGAATTCGTTAAAGAAACCGATTTTATGACTACTAGGGTATGGAATAGGTTGTTAAGTGAATGTTCTAGAGCCTAGCGATAGTATCATCATGCCAGGATTTTCGCAGGGAAGTTAAAGTATAGCATAAAGGAAATTTGTTTTTCTAGACACTACATCAATCATCAAATCATATAATTTGATAGGAAAATTTATACAATAATACTACAAAAATGAAAACCATTGAATAATATGAATTGAGATTGAGATGATCTTAAAGCTTTGTAAGAAGGGGGGGATCATAAAAGGTTTCCCCCTTTGTGTCTGTACCCCCTTCCGACTTTCTGGCATAAGAGCTCTAAAACAACACAAGAGCTCACACATAACAGCACAGAGATGAAGTTCACTATGACAGTCTAAATTATTTGGTTATATAGTAGTTTGCCCATAATGGTTTATCTATCAAAGCATGAGATATATATACTGATGACAAGAATTAGGTACCCATGAAGTAAATTATCCCACAGACATTTATTCCATTCGTCAACAGCTTAAATATTAACCCAATTTGGTTGCCCTGAATACTTAAATGTTGAGGCCTCTTCAAACATGACCAGCTGGATAATCTGTATGAGTGAATTTTATATACACCTGCAGGGAAAAAAAACTGTCCAATTTCCTTTTGTTCAGGGTGACAGGCAATCAGTTTTCGTATGTTGAAATTAGTAAATTTCTTAAGATTTGCCAGCCTAGCACGAGGCAGTGCTAACTAACAATTCATAGGGGTTAACAACTCGAGCCTCCTTGACAAGTCAAAGACACCCGTGGACAACTTCACAACAAGCAGACACACCACCAAAAAAACAGAAGTGGCTAGAGAGACTTCTTCATTTTGCATCCTTTACACCCTTTACGATCATTGTCTGTGAAAGGCTCATGAATTGTAAAACCAACAAAATTTCTGAAAGTTACAGTCATCCAACATCACCATGTCTGAAAAGGCAGATTCTTCCGAGCTTGTCCATAAACATGCTGGAACATCATCCGAGACGAGTGAGCAAGAGTTAGAGGTAAGTCAACAGAAATGACTGATGCATCCTTTGTGAAACTTGAACTATCCATGCTAAAATTTGGTACTTGTAGATTCCCTTGACTCAACAAGAGCACACCGAGCCTTTTGTTCTCAGCGATGTCCAAGCAGATGATAGTATTGATAACGATACCACTCTTGCAGTCGGTTGGCCTTCATCTCCAACTATGGAGAACCAAGCAGATACGGTAGCCGCAGATTGGTCTGACAGGAACGATGATCCCCAAGTTGATATGGGACCAACGGCGGTGGCCTCAAGAGATACAGAAGCTGAAGACTGGGATAATGTACCAACCACGGATGATGGATCCTGGGAGTATATGCCACCTAGAGAAGCTACCTTCACAGAATTTGGTAAGTAGTTTTTAACTTTCATTGCCCAGAATGTTTGAAACCTTTTCAGTTCCCAGCTCATTTTCAAAATCCTAATAATGTCTTAGACAAGCGCTTCTTTCTTATAGACTCTGTCGCGACAATGAATTGGTTTCTTCCGGTACTATCAAACATTCAGGATGGCTCGCGCCAAGAACTTTTCTGTGGCTGTAAAGGAAACGGAATTGGATTATCGAGAGATGGAGCCATCACTTTCTTTACTATGACCATTAGGTCCTTGAATACGACATACACCTTCGATGTTCAAGTTCTAGGAGATCAGGTGTTCAACATGGTTGGCAACAATGGTTTATCATTGAGGATGATTCTTGAATCCAAGGAATTTGGACAGGTTTGGTGGGATGTGCGAAACGACTTCGAGGCGCTATCTCACCACTACAATATTCATCCGCACTTCGATCTAGACCTTCAGCTTCTCGATGTCATGTCAACTAAAGGTAACAGAGCTAGGTTAACTAGCCTAATAGACTCTGTCCGCCAAAACCAAGCCGGAGAGTTGAGAATCAATGACCCAACTATGTGGCGCGGATACAGTGGAACATGGAGCTCAAAGAAGAAAGAAGTGAAAGATTACCTTGACTGGAATGGCTTTGACGCGTTAGAGATAAGACCAGTCAACTCAATCGTGATTCTGGGTTGTCGCATTGATACAGAGATTCTGCCAGAATTGTTTGATCATCTACTGCCACGTCTTCGGGAGACCACTATTGAAATGAAGATGGGATCTCCAGAGCTGTTTCTTAATATTGTTCGAGAGGAATCTTGGATCAGAGCTCATGCGGTATGGTCAAGAGAGAGCTCCAATGTTTACGTCTCTGGTATCTGTCGAGAGATCAGGAATCATCCTAGGACTCGGTCACCACCAATCTTTACAATGTTACCACAAGTTATTGAGGGAATTCGAGAGGATGAGTATATGATTGGCTTTGAGTAAACTATGGAGAAGATGAAACGAAGTGTTTGTTGGTGGCGATGTTGAAGCTATGTAATTTGCTTGGTGGAGAATGGACCATCCCGACGAAAGCTTCACTTCAGCTTTCAGACAATGTCGTCTATGGAAATAGTGTGGTGTTTTTGGACAATTAGTTGTAGCTAGAGGCAGACATAAGAAGTACTTCCAGGAAGTAGTAGATAGTAGAATCAAGTATGGCATGCTGGCATGTCGTATCTGTGGTCCTTAATAGAGTAGAATTGATATTTGAAGAATGCGCATGTTTGAGATATCAACATCTTCCACAAGGTACAAATCATGTTCATAGTCCATGAAACTTCATGGGGTTCCGGTGCCAGATACTCTGTGCTTATTTAAAGAAATGATGTGAATACAGAGATTATGGGAGACCTTGGTGAAACCAATTGAGCTATTTGATGATAACTTGCTATATTGAATGTGCATCGGAGCATGCAGTTATCCAGAGCCGGCGAGCTTGTGAGCCCAGTAGATTTCAAATGTAACAATAGAGAGGGTCGTCCCAGGAAGCTCAATTAGCAACAGTGCATTCTTAAGCTACAGAAGCAGTAAAGGCAACATCAATAGCATAGGAAAGAGAAATGGTCGAATAATTGTGTCTGTTTGAACTGAAGGTCAATGTCAAACTCAAAGCTCAAGCATCGATACACGTGCGATCCGCGTTCTGTAAATCATTAGTGGATGTGTATGGACTGGCGAAACACTGCAAAAAGTGATTGAGCATTATTATCATCCAAAATCTCGGTTTGTAAGATCTGAGAATTCTTACAATGCTTTACCAAAGGTCAAACAATGAAGATATAGATTCTGATATCAAACAATTGAAAAATGTATTTATTACAAATTTCGAAAGTTGAGAAGTTTCCCGTCAGTCCATGCACCTACCCATTGGTGAATCAAGCTAGCGCGTCTCCTCGCGTAAAGTGGCTCCATCAATGTCGTGTTCCAGCCTTCTCCAATTCTTTCATCAATTCAACATCAAATCCCCTTGTCTTATTCAATCTGTCAATTCCTTTTGTTATCAATAGTATTAAGTTATCAGCTCAACTAAGGCTTATTTCACGACGTCAATAATCAAAATGTTTCTCAAGCGCAAGCGTTCCGAATCCGAGATCTCAACCACTTCATCTCTCCTATCCAGTCCTCTACACTCCAACAACTCCAATTCTATGCATATTGATTCTCCATCAATAAGATCACCGAATCTTTTCTCCTCTCGTACCAGGAAGCGTCATAGAGATAATCGACCAAGTGAAGACACCGTCCATCGTATGTCCTCATTCTGACAATCCAACAGCTGCGCGTCAAATATTAATCAACTCTACAGAACATACCCTCTCCCTCCTTTATTCAGCGCAGCAACCTTCAAATATAAATACAAATTGCATGCCACCGCCCTCACCTTCGGCAATTTCGCCTCATACCATAATACCTAACCCACCAAATAACGCTCCACACCAAGCCTCACTCCATTCTTTCTGGCAATTGCCATCAAACCGTCAAATTTCACCGAGTAGCGATTCTTCTTATACATCATCCACATCTGTTTCTCCTAAAACAATCACACATCCTCACCTAATACCGACCAACTGCGAGGATTGCGATGCATCACTAGCGAACACGGAAGGGGGTGACGAAATGGATGTAGATACTATAATGGACATCGATATGTATGGAGCAGGAGAGACAAATCATGCATGTACGAATTGTGGGAAACAAGTTTGTCATTCCTGTGCTGTGAGTAACTTGGGAGTGGAAAGGAAATGTTTGGGTTGTGCAGGGAGTAACAGAAATGAAAGGAAATGGGTTGGAGGCTTGGGGTGGATGAATTAGATGTGGAGAATTGAATTGGAAACAAAAGCGGATACCCGGCGTGCGTTTAGTTGAAGAAATTTGTACAGGTTCACCGTTGTATATTCTGCTTGGATGTCTACAGCTTGGCGTTAGAAGTTATGAAGCGGCTTCTTTCTTGTATCAGGATATACTAATTTCCAACTCCTTAACGATGATGAGATATTTTAAATTGTATAGAATCAAAATTATCAGCTAGTCCTCACTCAATCGTCCCCCTACAAACAAATTAGCAAGTGCTACAAACATGACGTGGAGTCACAACACTTCAGGTATTCCGCTAACGTCCTCATAACTTCTCTGCTCAAAATTAGCCTTCCAAGGCTTTTTTATAAAGTGTACTCTCACAGCTCTACTCTATCCCATCGAATAGTGCGCTAGACTGCAAACCGTTCATTTCCAAGAGCTAGCTTCCTTTGATTTGATTTTATGTTTCCATCATATGATTGCCCTATCTACACATCTATACATTTATAGAGAATAGAGCTATAACCCCTCATAAGACCCGCAAGTAGTTTGTAAAGTTTCGAAGTTTATATTATGCAAACTATGCGCATCATGACTGATCAACAACAAACGAGACTTTAGGGTTTCCAAACTCAGCATGTCGACAATCTCAAGTGACACTGTGTGATATCGTATGACCGACAAACTCAAAGGCCTATATCATCGCGTTGATCACATGAAAACTACTGTCTGATATCAATCTTTACATTGGAAGTATTTTGAATCTGAGATTATGTGAGTGATGTCGTCTGGTTCAAGAGATTTTAGTACGCAGGATTCTTCTCATAACCTCTGACACAGCAACATCGAGATGATACAATATGATATGACGATGCGACTTGATGCGACGGTCATTCGAACCCGTAAAGCGAGGGCTCTTCAAACTTCTCAGACAGAAAATAAAGGCGTTCCCGGGAAATCGAAGATACAGAATTGTTCCATCATTATTCTGATCTACCACATTCTCCAAGTAGACAAAAGTCGATTAGATTGTGAAACAAGAATATTATCAGAACAACATTCGTTCATGTCCTATATATAAGCAACCCTCCTAGTCACCACCTTTATATTCTCCCTTCTCCCCCTTTGCCACCCTGACACTCACAACCCATACCCCCAAGTATTCTGAATATCTTCCCGTCCAAAATTATCAGACCACCAATCCCGAATCTCAGACCCAAACCCTCAAAATGTGCAAGAGCATAATTTTCGATTTCAACTGTTCTCACTACGAGCGTCGACTCCGTCTCTGTCGGTATCAACGTCACACCCTATGTTTTCCAGAAGACTGTCCCTCTTTCCATCGTGTAGATAGGGAGGCGAGGAGAAGATGTGTGCGGTGTGTTGTGAGGAGAAGGAGAACGGGGAGAATAGATGGGGGAGGTTGTGTGGTTATGTGATGGGTAGGTAGGTAAAGAGATGCGATGAGTAGATAATATTTAGTAGAGGGTTAGGATTACTGTGGTAAGTACTACGCTTTTTTCAAAAATAAATATAAATAAAAATATGGCTTGGAGTTGTATGTTATGTAAACATAAATGCAGATCTAGGTTATGAGAATAATAAATTCTTAAATGGAATATAAAATGTAAAGATTGAACGAATGAATGAATGTAACTTGAAGTAACTTGAAGTGAATTTATCTCTCTAAAGATGTCTAGAACAGTGCGAGTATACTTATTAGGTAAGTAATATAAGAACAGAACAATGCTTTGTTCACTCACCTCTCATCTCAACAAAGAGAAATCTTACTACTGCCTCACTATTAATATCTGGTAATATAAACTCACTTAAGATATTTAGGTATTTCGATCTCAACTTCATTAGAAGAGAATCGAATACAAGTTATTTTAATGAAAGAGAATATTAACTCCTGAAAATTCTCGTCTCTTAAGAATACTTAATACATATATATTACTATTATTCTTATTTATAGGATTTCAATATCTTTATAAAGATAAGAAAATTACTCAAATACTCGTATAAAATATAAATATATAGATAGATTAATAGTATAAAAAATTTAAGTTTCCTCAATATTGATATAATTTCATCTAATATATAAGAATGTTAAAAAAAATTATATTACTTATTTTCAACTATCTACTTCTAATAAAGAATTAACGATTATAGAAAAAGATTTGTTTCTTTATATATATAATCTTATTAATATTATCTAGATACTTTCTTCTTATTTGTCTTCATAATAGTATTCTCAGTATTTGTATATTAGAATACTCAATATATTATATACTATCCCATCCCATCTCATCCTATCTCATCCCATCCCATCTCTTTTTATATTCAACCCACTTCCCCAATCCCTCAATCCATCCAAATCCAAATCCAAATCCAAATCCAAATCCAAATCCAAATCCAAAAACACTACACACCATACCATACCATACCATCCCAACTCATCACATAAATCCAACCCCCAACCCCCAAATATCTCATCCTATCTCCGTATACTTCCAACACCAAATTTGCATTCCCCCATACAAATTTACCTACCTAGGTATTTTCAGATAATACCTACCCATCATATTCTCATAACCACATGATATCCTAATAAACTATTCCCTTTAAAAAACCCTTTGATACTATCCGATACTATCCGATCACATCTCATCCCATCTCATCCCATCTTATCTCATCATCTTCCACAATTAACCACATCTTTCTATCGAAAGCTCTGATTTATATTTATATTCATATTCATATCCATTTATATATATCCACAACCGCATTCATATAATCAAAAATCAAATACCATAACTCCTAGAACCAAAGGCCAGCCCCAGCCCCAGCCCCAACCTCAACCTTACACAACAACCACAGCATAGAATACCTCCCCTTCCCCTCTCCCTCTCCCTCTCCCTCTCCCTCTCCCTCTCCCTCTCCCTCTCCCTCTCCCTCTCCCTCTCCCTCTCCATCCATCCCATCCATCCTATCCATCTATATACATTAATCACTCCACATCCCACCTTAAAAATAAGAATATACCAGCAGCACCTTCTACCTACCTAGGTAGCTTCCAAAACACTAGTCATATACACATCTACCTTGCATTACCATTACATCACATTACATCATATAACTCTACATTACATCATATCACTCTACTTTACTCTATTCACTCGTCGTTCATGTATTAATGCGAAAAAACAAGCATGGAAATATTGGAGAGACGAAGTAGAGATGAGGGGAGATTACTTTCTGCACTGCAGAAGTTGTTTTCCGAATGTACATCTCTTATGCAGGTGTATAAGAGGAAGCTGTGCAATACACGAATCACCAAAGAATCAAATCCACATTACATGATCAAGATTCATCTTTACCATCATCACCCACAAATAAGTCAATTGAAACAAAAATTATGATGATCGGGTATCTTATTATCCATTTTATCTAGTACCCATGCATCTCTCCACCCAACTATCCAGCCATGAATCCATGCTCCCAACCCCATGCACTTCTTTCACAACCCCTCCACATCCACCAATCCATGGAATAATGGTATCAAGTAGATGATTACCATTACCATTGCGGAACGCAAGTAAGCAAGCAGCCATTCTTATTCTGATCTGATCTTGGGTATCTCCATCCAACCATGCCCGCAGCCCCTATCCTACCAAACAAAAACCACCCCGAAATAAAGACTTCTTCCACCAAATTCCCCATCCACCAATCTCTATTAAGATATAATGGAAAGCATCTCTCATCCTTCCATTACCATAGATTTCAATAGAAATCTATCCACGTCCACCCATTACTGAAGCATAACTTCTATTAAGAAAGTATGCATGCAAGTAATGAATGCATCCATTATCTTCCTCGAGCCCCAAACTTTTATTCAATTGTGACCCGATTCGACCCGAATGTGGTGTGCAAGAAGGGTATGAAGAGAACTAAAAACTTCCTGCAGAAACAAAGAAAATATCCACGCCTCAGAATACCAACTCCATTCCTTCCTATTTCTTCTCTAGTCACATCTTCTCCCTCTTCAATTACTATCAAAAGGAAGATTGCACCCCGAAAAGAAACAAAGGAAAGAAAGAAAAATTGGGTTGCTGAAGAGCGGTGTGTGTGTGTAGTAATTGTGTGTTGTAAATAAAAAACGCTAGAACGACAAGATGATTTTGAAGAGAAAATAAAAATCGACGATTCGCTAATGCCAGATATTTTTTGATGAAAAAAAAATAGGTTGATGAAACGCGCTGATGCCGAACACAGAAACGATGAAGTCCGCAGAATTGGGCTTGTGATCGAATGCTGATGAAATGACCGATCAAATTGGGTCAATCAATACAAATTGTGGTACATGTGAAGGTGTTGTGTGATATGATGTCCGAGATCAAGACGTAGATGATGCAAGGAGTGAGGGGAATTCGAACAAATCCAGGAAATTTTCAATTATTGCATGACGACATCTTGTTGATATGGTTGTTGCTGATATTGTTGTGATTGATTATATTGCATCTGAGCTTGAGGAGTTGGGGTGATCGGACATCTAGGTGCTGAAGTTTGATACGGTTTAATTTCATTTCCATTCCCTGTACCAAAATATTCTCCTTCTGGGGTGATTGGTGGCGTGAGGTAACCATTGATGACATGTTGTCCATACACCTTCTGTGGGGTGCTATACACATCGTGTTGTTGCATTGGCTTCTGGTTAGTGGTTGGTTCAGCAGGTGGAGTTGGTGGGGTGACATGGCATTGGCTCATAGCTGCTTGTTGGAGAAGGAATCGTCGAAGCACTTCAGAGACTCTAGACAGGTGTGGGGCAGCATATTTCCTCGCAAGGACGGAAGATGGTTGGTTGAGTTGTCGAGAAAGACTGAGCATCAATTCCGAATCGACCTGTCCATAGGTATCCATCTCGGGGCATCCAAGGATATCTCTCGAAAGTGCTAAAGATGCACGAGCCATTGCTGAAGGTTTGACTGAGACGAATTCTTTGTGATATAAAGCCATTTCACAGATGTACCATGACATGTGCTCGACGGTCATGTCTTCATATTCAGGTCCTTCCAACAAGGCCAATTGCAACCAGCTATCAACGGTAGGGTGACCAATCATCCATTCCAAGGTGTTCAAGACGTGCCATTCCATTTGTGTGAACATCTCCTCGTCGTATAACGAGCAGCACATCGACTTTAGTTCTCTGATCATGGGGACGCGTTCCTTCTTGTCTCCATACTTGGCAGCGATGAGAAGTGCAGCACATCCAACCAATTGATAATGTCTCTTGTAGACAACACGTCGCGAGCAATATCTATCGAGAAGGTTAACAGCGAGGTGAAGAGTTTCCGGAAGAAGTTGAAATGCAGAGTGAGCTTCAATAAGGAAGTCGATGAGATAAGGCCTCATGAACCATTGAATCTCCTGTTGAATTTCTATCGAGGCAACGTCTGGCATAGTCGCATCCTGTGGAAAATGTTAGCATCAAGTCACATACAGCCAGTAGAATGCAGAATAATTGACCTCCATCGATGCCATGTGATCAATGATATCATCCATATAAGCATCGCAAGCTTGTCTAGATAATTCATTGGCCATGGCTTCCTGCCTCCGTCGACCCATCATCTTGATATATTCTTGAGAGTTTGGTCGAGGTTGCTGTTGCTGCTGTTGTTGGAAAGTATTATCCTCCACGAAGAACGTGTCACAAGGTTGATTGTACGACATGTTGTAGGTGTAGAAGGTGATTTGAAGTTGTAGGTACTTTGGTGGTTGGTAGTAGGGAAAGAATGGACGTCAAGTTCTCCAGGAGCTTCGACTTGACAGTGGCTTTCGATAGTCACTGGATTGCTGTATTGTTGATTGTAAAGAATGTGCTGTATGGTTCGAAAGAACGATACGTTGGTGTATTATTATTAGAGAGTGTGGGTGGAACTATAATTCGAAAATGAACGACAATGGCCTCTTAAAAAAGATGGCGAAAAAATGTAAAAGCTGAACCTTTAAAAGTTGATATTAGTGAGGTGGCAGGTGAATATCACTTTATAAAGATACGGTGGAAATTCTAGTGAATTATGGGATTAGCGAGACTCTCAGCCGGAAGTGGAGTAGATCGTGAAAGGGAGAAGCCTCAATCATATGAAGGTAGAGAAGGAGAATGCTTCTTTGGTCATCAAAAACGCATGAAGCTAATGGTATTGTTCGTGGAGGGGGGGAGAGTCGAAGTGTGAATTTGGAAATTCGAGACTCACCAAGGTAGATCCCTCTAGATGGAAGACAATGAGAGGATAATGCGGTAGAAATGTTTTTCAAGATATTCTCCGCCGAAGTTAAGATAGGATGAACGAGTAAACGTCTCCGATCTTTGACTATCTTGATCTTGCTTGAAATATTTGGTGTAATTACGTGCCGAGTATTGGGTTGAGAGGAGGAACGTAGAGCTTTTGTGGAAGAATGTTCAAGGTGAGATGAGCGAACGTTGGCATGTAAAAATGCTAACTAAGTAAGGGGAACCAAGAGTTAAATGTTAGTCAATGCCTTTCATAAAGGATTTTGCTTGTTTAATTGGAAGGATAAGGAGATTTGAAGACAAGACTTTTGCATAAAGTTCGGGGGGGAGGGGAGGGGGGGAGGAGTTCAATGCTCACCTGGAATTGTCGAGTATCTTGACTTTCAATTGTGGAGTCAAATCTTAAACTCCTCTAACTTTTATAAAAAGAGTTGACGAGATTGAGATTGACAACAAAAGAGGTACCACTTGAAGATTATTGAAAAGAATTATTACTTCGAAACAAACAATACCGAGAATTGAAACAATTCGAGGTATTCGAGATCGAAGAATGGAGATGGGGAAAAGAATAGAACTGAGTCGAAACTTGGTGGCAGAAAGAACACAATTTTTTGGGGGGGAAGATTGAATTTGTTCTGGTAAGTATCAAGAGAGATGAGAAAGGATTCAAGTCGAGAAGTGATTCGAGTGAAGTATGTGTGAGTGTGGGTGTGAGTGTGAGTGTGAGTGTGGAGGAGGAAGAGGAGGAAGGTGGTTTCGATTACTGAATTGAATGATGAGACGACGATGATGAATGTCTTCCAATTCGATCCAGAAAAGAATAATCTTCGTGATTGTTGAGACGAAGATGAGGAGGGGTGAATGGTGTGTGTGGTAGTTTCTTTCTTTCTTTCCTCGTAGGAAGTGACAGCTATGGACAGTCGAATGAAAGCTCAAGTGAAGAATATTGTGTGGTGTGGATGTGTGTGTAAAGAAGTTGCAGTCGAGCAATCTTCCGGCCAAATTCTTGCTTGATTTTTCAAATTTCTTCGAGCTTCAACATAACCAGGTGTCAATTATCCAATGACCTCTTTATGCCCGTCTATTGATATATGAAGTGAGAGAGACTTTCGGAGGAGAGGAAAAGAGAGAAGAAATTTGGAGAGAGAAGAAGAAGAGGGGAGGTTTGTGTAGTTCAAGGAGTGAAAGAATGGATCGAATGGATCTCGAGAGAAGGTTGAGAGTAATGGACCTTTTTCTACACCGTAAGAGGAATGGTATGAAGATTATTACTTTTTGACATGGGGGGGAGGGAAGTGGAGTATTAAAAGCACATTCGTATGGTGCTTTTGCAAGTGGGGACGACTTTCCTCTTTGGGTTAATGGGAAGAATTATTGCTGCATCAAGAAAAGTATCTATAAGTAGAAGAGGTGAGGTGGAGAGAGGGAGATATGTAATATGTGGTATGTATATCATATGTAATGTGTATATAATGTGTAAATTGTATATAATGTGTAATATGTATATCATGTGTAAATAGTAAATAGTAAATCGTAAATCGTAAATCATACGTGATGGATCAACAGAAACAGACCGATAGATGGACCAAGATAATATCCATCGCTCTAGATTCCTCCTGCTTACCTAGATAGGGAAGTCATACAAAAGCAGGAAGTCTTATTATTCCTAGGTATTATTATCATCATCATCATCATCATCATGATTGTGACTACCTAGTACGTACGATACGTTGATTCTTTGGTCAACATCTCCCCCATTCATCATCAGGTCAAGAACATCAGACGAAAAATCCCTAGTCGGCGTTGTGGTTAGATGAAGCGACCGGAAGTATGTGGATGTGGATGACACTGGCTCACTGGAAGTACGGAAGCAATTTGATGGTTCAAGACTTAAGTAGGTAGTGTAGATAGTGTACTGTGTAAGTACCTAGTAGGTACCTAGTAATGTCTTCTAAATTCTAATTGAACGCGCTTTCCCTGTTGGCAGCTGAATTCCACCTCGACCTATCCTATTGACGTTGTACCTACGTGATACATTATACCTGCATTATATCCTGTCTCTTCCATAAATTCCGGTAGAGAGTATTACATCCAGTCTTTGGTATATGCACAATTACCTCCCTCCTGTCTAACTCGCCATGGTATGAGAGGGAAGCGGATGTGTAAGCCATACCAAGAAGAGGAACAAGAGTACCCAGGCGAGCCAGGCAAGTGCATCCATCCATCGTACGGTCCGGGGAATAGATGGCAATGGCACGGAGGAAAAAGGTGTCCAAGATTTCAAGAAATGGCACGATTCGTATCAATTGATGGATGGGATAGGATACCCAGTAGGATAGGATAGGATACTAAATAGTCTTTGCAGCTGCTCCGGTCAGACAATGTGCAAAAGTCGCGTTTGCTTGATTCCATTGGCTCTGCATGATTTACGTATTCTCGACACTCTCACATATGATTTTTGGCTTGTGCAATGGATGCTTCATATTGGTTCCTGATCTCCTACATTTCCATTCCACCTCACTCATCAAACACGCCCAAACGCGTCAAGGGGAAAAAAGTAATGACACTCTGACTATCGATCGGATCGCTCTGTTATAACCTCACCATCCCTCACCATCCCTCGCCATGTAATCCATTCAATAAATAAATTTAGAGACTTAGGCGTGCGCTTAGTATCACTACTGCAGAGCAAGCACACTGCACACTTCATACTTCACACGCTCAAAGGAATAAATGGCCTGGTAAACTCCGCTCCACTCATATTGGAAGAAGTGCATGTACAGTCAGTCTACGGAGTACACAGATGAAAACGTGATTTCCATGTGACTAAACTGAATTTAGGTAGAGACTGGAGATGATTCCAACCAAGATTGGACAGAGTGTTTTATTAGGTCGGTATACTTCTTAAAAGCATCATGATAATATCAAAATTATATACTTCTCTCCCAAAACGTCGTAGGTGTAATTTGCCCAATTTCTCATGGCATACGATACATCCTCCGTACATCTCTTTCCCTCACTCATCCCAGAACTCACATCCCCAGCTCAATTCAATAAAAGCCAGACATCCTTGAAAATCCATCGAAACTTCTTATACTTCGATTGAAATCTAACCATTCACACATCCTGGATTGACACGCTTGAGAATACCTGCATACATGCATCAAACCATGTCAACACAGGAAACAATACCATCAAGTTTGATTTGATTCATTTCTCACGGGCTCGAGATTGGTGTGTTGATCAATTTCTACGCTTTGCCATCTCCTGCATAATTCATGGATTTGTTACCATTGACTCGTTGATGTCTTTCTATATAGGGTATACCTATGTACATCACGTTGCAACGACATAAGATGCATCAGGGTAATGCACCTCTTTCCCCTATTCCTGAGTGCCTTGTCTGCAACGGAGGGCTGAATGTGCTGGTGATTGGGCAGATGACGAGGAGAACCAGGCAAACGCATCACACCTGAGCGCATCAATAATCCCTTACCAACAATTAATCAATAAGAAGCAATACGTGAGAATTCAGATCTCGCCCAGACCTTGATCATCTTGCATATTTTGTACCATCAAAAAAAGAGACTTCCCTCAACCGTGTTTCAAGAGAAGTGCAAAGGGTACGGGGTAAAAGAGGGAAGAATCCCCTACCTGCGAAGCTCAGATGCAATATGGATGGACTAACCCTTTTGCGAATGTGTTCCGGAAACATATGGGTGGTATCTATGGTACTTTGTACACGATATAATTTCCAACTGGAAACCTTCCTCGTCTCCAGCTTATTTTAAGCCACCGGTTCGTTAGATCTCCGTTTGATTTGATCAGATCATTCCATTCGCTGTCCCAGGTTGGTGCAATCTCCAAACCGTTTGTATCTGGATATTACCGTCGTCCAATGGCCTTATACTTTTGTCTTTTCAATAATTCAAAATTCAATGCGCCGCTGAAATACTTCGGGGAGCTTCGAATGGTTTGGAATCATTCTGTCACTCAACAACCGTCCCCAGAACAAACCTTCTCCCACTATCAATTTGATATCAGTTGCAAAGCAACTGCCCATCTCCATGATTTGTCCGGCTAGTTTAGCAGTGTAAAATTCTCTAGTAACATTTGGTACCCCATAGCACAAGCATTAACTTCCTAACTTTAGATACCTCAAGTACCACTAACTCATAGCCAATTCTGTCCATCCGCCAACCATCCAAGTGATTACAACCAAACGGGACATTTGGTTTGGTTGCTATGCTATCAAACTTTCCCACGCCACTAATCATGAAACCATTACTGCTTTCCAAGCAGAATTTCCACCATCCAGATCTTATTTCAGGCTTGGTCTTCGGTGGCCATACCGATTCGAACAGTCCTGTTTGTACCAAACGACGACCGGAATTTGGGGTAAGTTTATGCACAAAATACATGCACCAGACGATCATCA